ATGTAAACACTCCACTTCATCCAACGTTAATCCAAGGTTTCGTGTAAACACTCAACTTCATCCAACGTTCATACAACGTTCATCCAACGTTTATCAAACGTACATACAACGTTCATACAACGTTCATGAAACATTCGATGTAAATTCTCCACTTGATCAAACGTTCATCCAACGTTCCATATACACACTCCACTTCGTCCAACGTTCATCCAACGTTCATTCATACAACGTTCAACCAAGGTTCCATGTACACACTCCACTTCATCCAACGTACATATAATGTTCATCCAACGTTCATGCAACATTCCATGTAAACACTCCACTTTATCCAACGTTAATTCAAGGTTTCGTGTAAACACTCAACTTCATCCAACGTTCATACAACGTTCATACGTTTATCAAAGGCACATACAACGTTCATACAACGTTCATGAAACATTCGATGTAAATACTCCACTTGATCAAACTTATATCCAACGTTCAATGTTAACGCTCCAACTTTGGCATATTTACTGGGACAGCATTAACACCGACTGTACATTTGATTAGTAATCCGCATGACTCGTGAAATGTAATCCACGTGATTATGCAATCCGCGTTATAATCCACGTTACTCATAAGAATGTTGGGTTTTTTAAAAATTCAAATTAATTCACTATGCCAGCGCCGTAGTTGAAATTAATGGAAATGTTCCTTAAATATCCTTAAATCTCCCCCCCCCCCCACCGGATTATAAGACGCATCCAATAAAGTTATACAAATCTGGACACACATTTTGTATTATAATACGCGTCCAATAAAGTTATACAAATTTTGACACATTCTGGATTATAAGACGCATCAAATGAATTTATTTAAATCTGGATAGACATTCTGGTTTATAAGACGCATCCGATAAAGTTGTTAAAATCTGGACACATTCTGGATTATAAGAAGCATCCAATAAAGTTTTTCAAATCTGGACATGCATTCCGGATTATAAGACGCACCCAATACAGTTATACAAATCTGAACACATTCTGTATTATAAGACGCGTCGAATAAAGTTATACAAATCTGGACACATTCTGGATTATAAGACGCATCCAATAAAGTTATTCAAATCTGGACACACGCACGTTCCGGATTATAAGACGCACCCCAAATGTCACTTTGAATACAGGCGGAAAAGTGCGTCTTATAATCCGGATAAGTCGGAATGTGTGTGTGGTTATTGCACCACGTGGTCTGGGCGGTGACTCTCCTCGCCTCGGAGGTGATGGGGTGAGGAACTGGTGAGCATGTTGAGCGGTGAGTCGTGTGTGGTGTGTGCAGTGTGTGGTGTGTGTAGTGTGTGTAGTGTGTGTGTAGTGTGTGTGTGGTGTGTGCAGTGTGTGGTGTGTGCGGTGTGTGCGGTGTGTGTGGTGTTTGTGGTGTGTGTGGTGTGTGTAGTGTGTGTGGTGTGTGTAGTGTGTGTGCAGTGTGTGTGGTGTGTGCAGTGTGTGTGTAGTGTGTGTGGTGTGTGTGGTGTGTGTAGTGTGTGTGGTGTTTGCGTAGTGTGTGTGGTGTGTGCAGTGTGTGCAGTGTGTGGTGTGTGTGGTGTGTGTAGTGTGTGCGGTGTGTGTAGTGTGTGTGGTGTGTGCGGTGTGTGGTGTGTGCAGTGTGTGGTGTGTGTGGTGTGTGTAGAGTGTGTGGTGTGTGTAGTGTGTGTGGTGTGTGTAGTGTGTGTGGTGTGTGCGGTGTGTGTAGTGTGTGTGGTGTGTGCGGTGTGTGTGGTGTGTGCAGTGTGTGGTGTGTGTGGTGTGTGTGGTGTGTGCAGTGTGTGGTGTGTGTAGTGTGTGTGGTGTGTGCAGTGTGTGTGGTGTGTGTGGTGTGTGTGGTGTGTGCAGTGTGTGGTGTGTGTGCAGTGTGTGGTGTGTGTAGTGTGTGGTGTGTGTAGTGTGTGTGGTGTTTGTGTAGTGTGTGTGGTGTGTGCAGTGTGTGTGGTGTGTGCAGTGTGTGTGGTGTTTGTGTAGTGTGTGTGGTGTGTGCAGTGTGTGTGGTGTGTGTGGTGTGTGTAGTGTGTGTGTAGTGTGTGTGGTGTCTGTGTGTGCAGTGTGTGTGTGGTGTCTGTGTGGTGTGTATGCAGTGTTGTGTAGTGTGTGTGTGGTGTCTGTGTGCAGTGTGTGTGTGGTGTCTGTGTGTAGTGTGTGTGTGGTGTCTGTGTGTAGTGTGTGTGTGTGGTGTCTGTGTGCAGTGTGTGTGCAGTGTGTGTGGTGTGTGCAGTGTGTGTGGTGTTTGTGTAGTGTGTGTGGTGTCTGTGTGTGCAGTGTGTGTGGTGTCTGTGTGGTGTGTATGCAGTGTTGTGTAGTGTGTGTGTGGTGTCTGTGTGCAGTGTGTGTGTGGTGTCTATGTGTAGTGTGTGTGTGTGGTGTCTGTGTGTAGTGTGTGTGTGGTGTCTGTGTGCAGTGTGTGTGTGGTGTCTGTGTGTAGTGTGTGTGTGGTGTCTCTGTGTAGTGTGTGTGTGTGGTGTCTGTTTGTAGTGTGTGTGTAGTGTGTGGTGTGACTGTAGTGTTTGTGTAGTGTATGTGGTGTCTGTGTGTGGTGTCTCTGTGGTGTGTGTAGTATGTGTGGTGCTTGTGTAGCGTGTGTGTGGTGTCTGTGTGTAATGTGTGTGGTGTCTGTGTGGTATGTGTGTAGTGTGTGTGCAGTGTTTGTGTAGTGTGGGTGCAGTGTTTGTGTAGTGTATGTGCAGTGTGTGTAGTGTATTTGCAGTGTGTGTGGTGTCTGTGTGTGGTGTGTATAGAATATGTGCAGTCTGTGTGTGTCGTGTGTGTGGCTTTTGTGTGTGGTATGTGTGGAGTGTGTGCAGTGTGTGTGTGTCTTGTGTGTGGTGTCTGTGTGTGGTGTTTGTGGAGTGCGTGCAGTGTGTGTGTGTCGTGTGTGTGGAATGTGTAATGTGTGTATGGAGTGTGTCTGTATTGTGTGGAGTGTATGTGTAGTGTGTGTGTGCAGTGTGTGCCAGTGTTCGTGTAGTGTGTTCAGTGTGTGTATGTAGGGTGTGTGTGTGTGGAGTCTGCGGTGTGTGTAGCGCGTATGTGCAGCGTGTGTGGTTTGTGTGTGGAATGTGTGGGTGTTTACAACGTTATTATGATTCTTGTGAAAGTGTTGAGATTATTTTGGCTAACTTGCGAGTTCCAAGACACTCCAGGGGAAGCCCTCGAATATAAACATCAACACGTGACCCACATCAACACCATCATCATCAATAACATCGTCATCAAGTTCATATTCTGTGGTTCTTTCGGTAAAGTCACGGAGATAGAAAATTTATAAGAAAAAAAAGTGAATAAAAAATACTAAAATTATAAAAAAAAATAACATGAAAAACACTAATGTTTTAAGTCGAAATCACCATCAGGCTCAACAACAGCATCATCACCACCATGCTCCTCAAGAAGAACATCACCAGGATATAATATATTTTAAATAACATCATCACCATCATAACTACTTCAATCATTTTCATTCAATCAATATCCACCATCATAACACGATCATCACCACCATCATCAAAGACAAAGATCCCCCGTGTAGCCTGTAACAGACTGATGGGACAAGTGCTGTTAGCGAATAGCTCCTATGACGGCCGGTACGACACATCAAGGGGTTGGTGACCAGCACCACGCCCGGCCGCATTTGTCTTCCCAGTGGCGATGATATTAGACGCTGCACCATGTATTGATTTGAGGCCGAGTCGACTTAGGGGAGGCACTACTGCTCCCCACAACACCACCACCACCGCCACAATCACAATCATCATCATCACCACGTGCATGTTAAAAACATTTTATTTTTAGTACAAAGTTAAATAACAAAACGCGACACCTCTCAAATGTTGCACAACATTTGAGAGGTGTCGCGGGAGCGTTTAAAAAGTGAAGAAAGCATGGCTCTTGTGGACCCCTTGAAAGTTTCTGCGTTTCTTTTAAATGCAAAACACATAGCGGCGGAAGTCCGGAGTTGGCACGGGTCCCGAACCGTCTGAACGCCTCGACGATTATCTCCCGGTGCGGTAGTTAAACGAATACAGAACGTTTCTAAACACAGCTCTCTCTCTATATATACAGGTAGTCCCCGACTTACGATGGAGACGCTGCTATATACAGCTATTCCCCGACTTACGACGGAGATGCGTAACGACGACCCCATCGTAAGTCGAAAATATCGTAAGTCGAAAATGGCCTAGCCTACCCAGGAGTCTTAAAGAATGGTGACAATTTAGCAAAACAGAGCAATTTACAGTAACGTACTGTATAAACTATATACTGTATGTATTTATTAATTAAAATACTGTATTGCACAGTAAAATTGAAAGTTAAAAAACAAGGTAAATTCTTAGCCTACCTATATGAACTGCAATTTCATAGAAAGTTTTTTTCAGGAAAAATCCTATCTGCTATAAAAAAAAAACTTTTAACATGCATTGAACGTAAGTAACGTATCGTGGTAACCCTAAAATGAAATCGCTAAAGCTACGTATCATACATGCATTGAACGTATCGTAACGTATCATATTCTACTGTTGCTCACCAAGATTCTATCCGTCGTCTGCATACTTGAACGATGTTAGGTTGTTGATGGCTACATTAACTTAGTTGTCGGAAGAGGAGGATGGCGATGATCAAGTTACAGTATCGTACTTTGTAGTACGCTGCTGCCTTTGCCTGCCGCGCGAAATTAAAAAAATATTTTACAATTTTGTCGTACCGCTATCGCCATCGTAAGATCGAAATATCGTAAGTCGGGGACCGGCGTAAGTCGGGGACTACCTGTAAATATTTCTGCCATATTTTGTGGTGGAAGTTTACACTGCAGCTACTCTCACGCTCGCTGCTCCGATGGTGGTGGATATCGCAGTCGTAACAAGTGCACCTGTACCCTGTTCAATGTTGACTTGAAGCTTTCGTGACTGCAGGAATTCATATTCTTTTGGGGGGGGGGGGGGGGTTTGTCGGTAAAGTCACGGAGAAATAATTTTCTTTTTTAAATAATAGCAGAGCTTTGTTTTCTCTTTTTCATTTGTACCCGATGATGATGATGATTGCTTGCTTGTGTGTAGCAATCGAAACGTCGTATGCTATTCTTTTATTTATTTATTTATACGCGACTTTACCGAAAGAACCCAAGAGTAATAATTCCTGCAGTCGCGAAAGCTCCAAATCTAGAATCTGTACACTGTTGTTGTGGATAGAGCGCCCTCTAGCGGCTATGCGGGCGGGGGGGGTCACGTGACCACCGTCCACGTGTTGGAAATTGACCCAAGCCAGGGGGGAGGGGCGTCGTTGGACCGATCCCACTAAATTTAGTTAATGAACCAATCGACCTATTCACTCGTCAACACAATCCCGTTAACGACTTGCGCGGCTGTCTTACGAGCTAATCGACCGCTCTCAACCAAACCACTCGGTCATTAATTAATCAATGGAAGGATTAATTTGTTAATCAATCGGCTCACTCGCAGATTAACTGGTTAACCGTTTTCTGCGTTAATTAGCCGATCACAACACGGACACACTCAAAGCGATCTACTCGTGAACAAATCAGCTCACTAACCAATTATCTCTCGAAACCGATCGCTCAATTCATTCATTCAACCAGTCGGCTCTCTCGACCAATCACGTGCGTGACCACCCCCTGCCCCCGGCAGACCAGCGGCGACCCCCCACTCTTCCCCCGGCCCCTGCCCCCGCTGCCCCCGCTGCCCCCCCTCTTCCCCGCGTGAATCGGGACCTCTGCATGCGCTGTGGGGGCCCGGACCCCGGGAGGTCGCCGATCGTGGAGGTCAGCCAGGAGGAGAAGGAGCAGACGCGGGTGTACACTCCGGGGTAGTGTGCGCGCCCACAATCCTTCCCCCACGAGATGACCCCCTGGAGGGTCCCGTCGCACACCAGGGGGCCCCCAGAGTCTCCCTGCGTGTACGGTGGGGGGTGGGGGGGGTGGGTGCGGAGAAGGAGGAGACGGAGCGGAGATGAAAACGACTGTGAGATTGAGACGCACGCACAGTGACCTCCACCATCGGCTCTGCCACGAAAATTCCTAGAATTCTTAGCATCATCGTCGTCGTCGTCATCACCATAATAATCCTGTGGACATCTGTCCCAAGGCAGAATCAGAATATTTTTTTTACTGGAGGAATTCGATGCACTATCCAGCTATTTTTTCACAGATGTTCAAGTAAGCCACCCGTACTCAAATGCCAACAACGCAACCACCACCACCTCCTTCATCCCCCCGTTGTTGTCGTCGTTGATGTTGTTGGAGGGGCGATTGCCTCCAACTTGTCCTTCACGAGCTCCCTCCGTAGAGGCCCGGTGGACTGAATTCTGGCTCCAAAGGCATGGGGTTTGTTCTCTGCTGGGGGAAGGATGCCACCGGACAATAGCGAGTAGTTGTGGCTCTCCTCGAAATTGGAGAATAAGCTAATTAATGGGGGCATGGGAGGGTGGAGGCTAGATTTTAGGAAGCCGTGAGTCACATTTCCATTTATGGAAGGCGGGCGGTGGTGGCGGTGACTAACGTCCCCACCGCAGATGAACCGGGGCTGGTGAGTCAGTCGCATTCGGCGGCCTCCTGTTCCAGGTGCTGGCCAAAGCCGCCCCTCGGGATGGAGTCGTCTAATTGGGCGACTTTAATGCCCGAGTGCGTCATGGCAGAGTGCGGCTGGGAGCTGGGGTGACTGGAAGGCATGGGCCGGATCAGCTCAACAATAACAACAACAACAACAACGGTAGGAGGATGCTAGACTGTTCAACACCATGTGCTGTTAATCGCCAACACCGCCGCTTCGGCATCGGCGCATCCGCACAGCATCATGGATGCACCTCAGACACAAGCAAGAACATCTGCCGGAATACGTAGCGACAGAACGGCGAATGCGGGCTACGTGCCTGTGACACCAGGACTACCCGTTGAAATGGTCTGCCCACTGACCATCGCTTTGTCATCTGTAACATGCGCCTGCCCATTCTTCCACTGCGGCGGTGGGCGTCCAACTAAAGGACCCCGCAACAACAGCCTGGCCTTGAAATTTGCGAGCGAGAATTCGATCATCGCTGGTAGCTGGGGAGCGGTTGGCGTTGTCTCCCCATTCTCCCCCCGATGCCGAGGGGAAATGAGTGAGGCTCAGGACTGTGGCTCATGCGGCTGCTGTGGGCCTCCCCAGAAACACTCCCGGGCTGTCAGAGGAGGCGTTCCAGCTGCTCACTTCCACCGTCTACAACGTCACGCGCCCGACAATGAGCAGACAGTGTAACAGAGACAAAGGCGAAGATTCCCCCGTATAGCCTTTAACAGACTGTAGGGGCAAGTGCTGTTGGCGAGCACCTACGAAGGCCGGCGCGTCACACGAAGGGGGTGGGTGGGCAGCGCCACGGACGACCGCCTTTGTCTCCCCATTGGCGATGTTTACTACACACCGCACTCTGTACTAATTTTAGGCTGAGTCAACCTAAGGGAAGCCCAGGGCCGGTTTATATAACGGCCACTACCGGTGTCGGCAGCCGTGAGCGGGAGCAAACTCGGGTCGCCGGATTCGTGAGCAGAGCGCGCTGACCGCGGCACCGCCGCTCCACACACACACCCCCCCCCTCACCCCCCTCACCCCCTCACCCCCCTCACCTTGCACGCATCCCTCCCGCCGTCCATGAACCCGGCACAGAACATGGAGTTGGTGAGCGCGGGACCATAACTCTTGCGGCAGCGGCGTTCATCGATGACGGTCACGTTGAGGCACTCCGAGGACTTGGGGAAGACACCAGCTGGGGGGGGGGGGTGGCTGGGGGGGGGAGAGAGAGAGGGGGGGTTAGTCACGGCGTCTCTTCCATGGGCGTTCCTGTGCGTGTCCACGTGTGTGTGTCTATATCCATGTGTGTGTGTGTCTATGTCCACGTGTGTGTGTGTCTATATCCACGTGTGTGTGTCTACATCCACGTGTGTGTGTGTCTATATCCACGTGAGTGTGTGTCTATGTCCACGTGTGTCTATATCCACGTGTGTGTCTATGTCCACGTGTGTCTATATCCACGTGTGTGTGTCTATATCCACGTGTGTGTGTGTCTATATCCACGTGTGTGTCTATATCCACGTGTGTGTCTGTATCCACGTGTGTGTCTATATCCACGTGTGTGTGTCTATATCCACGTGTGTGTGTGTCTATATCCACGTGTGTGTGTGTCGATATCCACGTGTGTGTGTGTCTATGTCCACGTGTGTGTGTGTCTATATCCACGTGTGTGTGTCTATATCCACGTGTGTGTGTCTATATCCACGTGTGTGTGTCTACATCCACGTGTGTGTCTACATCCACGTGTGTGTGTGTCTATGTCCACGTGTGTGTGTCTACATCCACGTGTGTGTCTACATCCACGTGTGTGTGTCTATGTCCACGTGTGTGTGTGTCTATATCCACGTGTGTGTGTCTACATCCATGTGTGTGTCTATATCCACGTGTGTGTGTCTATGTCCACGTGTGTGTGTGTCTATATCCACGTGTGTGTGTCTATATCCACGTGGGTGTGTCTATATCCACGTGTGTGTCTATATCCACGTGTGTGTGTGTCTATATCCACGTGTGTGTGTGTCTATATCCACGTGTGTGTGTCTATATCCACGTGTGTGTGTGTCTATGTCCACGTGTGTATCTATATCCACGTGTGTGTGTGTCGATATCCACGTGTGTGTGTGTCTATGTCCACGTGTGTGTGTGTCTATATCCACGTGTGTGTCTATATCTACGTGTGTGTGTGTGTCTATATCCACGTGTGTGTGTGTCTATATCCACGTGTGTGTGTGTCTTTTAAGTGGGGAGTAGTAGCGTAGCGGTTCGCATGCTACGCTACGAATCTGGTGACCTGAGTTCGATTCCCGCTCACGGCTAACAACCAGTGACGATTATCTGAACCGGTCCAGGGCCTCCCCCTAGGTCGACTCAGCCTCAAATGAGTACCTGGTGCGCTGTGTAAACATCAGCACTGGGGAGACAAAGGCGACCGGCCGTGGTGTTGGCCACCCACCCCCCCTTCGTGTGCCACGGTCCCGGCCTTCATAGCTGCTGCTTGCTTAACAGCACTTGCCCCAACAGTCTGTTACACCCTATGCTTTACGCCTGACTGCTGACGAGACACTGAGCGGCGAAACCGGTCCCAGAGTAGTTGCTCGTGGTCGGACCAACGCCGTTCAAATGATGCGCTCCCAGAACGCCGTTGGGGCTGATGGGATGTGTGGACACAAAAACAAATGTAATGTGAAAGAAGTGGAGGAGGAGGAGGCCTATCATCTGCTTCATTTGTATGCCCGTTAAAGAAGGTCCACAGCCTGAAACGTCGCCCATTATTTATTTAAGGCGGGGTTCAAAGTCGGCCGAACTTACTCTCAGTCCGCCCCCACCCGGCGATGGAGCAGCGGTCCCCGGGAAGGGGGCACGAGGTCGCCAGGGGGATGACGGAGACGGCGGGACCCAGGCGGGGTGCGGGGGACAGCTGCAGCAGGGCCAGGTCCCCCTCGAACGACTCGGGGTTGTAGGAGGGGTGCGCCACGTGGCGAGTCACCCGCGGGTCCCTGTAGCCCACGGGACGCAGGGTCCGCTCGCCCAGCAGCACGCGGGCCCTGTGGCGAGCGAGGTTCAGGCTGCGGCGGGGGAGGGAGACGCGGGCAGACACAGGGTGTGTGAGGATGAGCGTGTGCGATGATAGTGTTGGCGATGACGATGGTGGTGCTGGTGATGATGATGTTGGTGATGATGGTGGCGGTGATTGCGGTGGCGGTGATGACCATGACCCCCCCCCAGGTGATTTCACAGGACCTCCACGTCCCAGTTAAACGTGCCCCCCTCGCCCCCCCCCGCCCCCCAGGTGCTTGCTTATGGCAGTCCATCGGCATGAATGATCGCGTTGCTCCCATTGTCTGCTGGTAAATGAATTTGCTAGTGGCCGTCGCCGCTGGCGTGGATGCCGCCGCACGCGGCCATGAAGCCCGATCCTGGAGCCGCGTATCCTGCCGCAGCTGCGAGATGTCTGTGCTGTCGATGCTCTCTCTGCCGCTGGGGTGCGTTGTTCTTCAAGGTGTTTGACCCCTGTGCCGCACAAGTTTCGCCCATAGTGGGCGGTCGGCTGCAGCTGCTTCAAGGTCGCTGGGTTTGATGTTGCACACCTTTGGTTGTCCCCTTCAGCTGATCCTCACACCTCAGTTGTTTGACCGTCCGGTCTTCTGCTGGCTGCCCGGAGTCGTCCATAGAGCACCGGATGAGGTAGACGACTTCCGGGCACGCGAATTGCGTGGCCCAACCCAGCGCAGTTGCCTCTTTGCTCGGGTTGCTTCCACGCCGATGGTCTCAGTAGCGGACCCTGAAGAGGGCGGCTCGGTCACGCGACAAGCTGCTGAAGGAGGATGCCGTTCCTGGTCCCTGCCTCGCAACGACGATCAAACACGTCTGACCTGACCCCCGTCACCCCATCCTGCTGCCAGAGGGCTTCTGTGTTGGCAGCAATAGCCTGCGCCGCGGATGGATTTAGTGTGGCGAAAGGGGCGCGCAGTTCCTTCCTGCACAAGCTTGACCGCACTCACCGGGTTCCGGTGGCAAGAGGGAAAACTTGAGACAACCTTCAGGTGAACAGGGCTGCAGGGGGCTGCCCGAATCTCCGTTTTAAGAGCCTGTCTAATGCGTGTCCCCAACACAAGTTTTGGATCGCACTCAGTCTGGGAACCTCCCCCTCGACCTTACCGCCATGGGTGACTCCCCCCCACCCCGCCTCCCTCCGGGTGAGCTCACCTGGAGAGGCAGTGCGCCGCGGTGAGGATCCAGTCCGGAGCGACGAGAGCTCCGCCACACACGTGCTCCCCGCGGTGGTTCACGATCGAGACGAGCCACGGGTGAGCCAGCGGGGGGCAGCGCTCACCGCCGTACATACGTAGCGCCACCTCCGGCTCACCACCTGCGTCTCACCGCCACCATCCCAGGCACCGGCGGTTAGCGCCGGTTCGCTACGTACGGTGGGAAAGAAGTTCAACGTGCGTCTGTACGTACATACAAGATACCGGCGTTGCAACACAGCACCAGCAACAGCAGCAATAGCAACGTCGCCGCGGCGCTTGCGCCAGGCTAGGTGCGCTTCTTTGAGGCCGTCACGTGAAGTTTCGAAGGCTCGCTGCTTGCAGGAGGTGGTCACGGGACAGGCCCAGGTGCCAGGGGTGAACTGCTGTGCCAGGCTAGGTGCAGGAGGAGGTCACGGGACAGAACCCTGAGCCATAGGTTGACTGACTGAGATAACGAGCTGTACTCCCTACTCTGCGCCAACCTGCTGTGTCTCAGCCGCTCTTCGCTCCGCTCGTTGTTGTGAGCGTCGCTCCTCCGCCCTCCGTTGTTGTTGGAGGGCGACTGCCTCCAATTGCCCAGCAGCGTCCTTCACGAGCCTCCTCCACAGAGGCCGATCTTGACACCGCTGGTACCAGTCATCGGCAAGTCCACTCAGGTCCACATCTTCATGTAACTGCAACAGTCCATCTCTTCTCTAGCCCGTGCCGTGCCCGTTTAACCCCATCTATCCGGCATTAGATTATTTAGATTGTTTTGCTGCTATAAGTTTCCACGGCATGAACCACTTTGTTGAACTACCATTTGTGGCCAGTTTTCTTCTGAAAAATAAGCAAATCGCTCAACGGATTTTACCTGATAATAGTTTAGTTTTATTTGTATAACAGTGATTTGTTTACCTTTCCTATACTTTGCACTCCTATCGTGATTTGTATTCGATTCCTCCGGTATCAATTAATATTCTGATTCTGAAACGGAAGCTGCTTGGGCATGCAGTGGCTGCGCATGCGGCGGATGGGGCATGCGGCAGATATAGGGCATGCGGCGGATATGGGGCATGCGGCGGATATGGGGCATGCTGGGGATGGGGGGCATGCGGTGGCTGCGCATGCGGCGGATATGGGGCATGTGGCGGATATGGGGCATGCGGCGGATATGGGGCATGCGGCGGATATGGGGCATGCGGGCTACATGCCCCATCCACACAAAGATCCCCCATATAGCCTTAACAGACTGTTGGGACAAGTCCTGTTAGCGAGTAGCACATATGAATACTCTTTGGTTCTTTCGGTAAAGTCGTCACGTAGGTAGAAAATAAAACAAAATGCAAAAAATAAATCACGACGTTTCGATCGCAAACACAAGCGGTCGTCCTCGGGCTGAAAAAACAATCCAGTGGTGGAACTGCTGAACCAGCAGTTGAACCAGCAGTTGCGATCGAAACGTCGTGATTTATTATTATTATTTTGTTTTTAGTTTCTATCCTACGTGATGACTTTACCGAAAGAACCAAAGAGTATGGATTCCTGCAGTCACGAAAGCTTCAAATCAAGAGAGCGCCTATTGAGGCCGGCACGGCACACGAAGTGGTGGGTGGCCAGCACGACCACCGCCCGCCTTCTCCTCCCCCAGTTGGCGATATTTACGCACTGCACCAGGTACTCATTTGAGGCCCAGTCGACCTAGGGGAGGCCCAGGACCAGCTCAAATAATCGTCACTGGTGTTGGTGGCCCTTGACCAGGAGTCCGGTGTCATCTGTCTCTTATCCCGTGTCCCGTCTCCCTCGTGTGAATGAATTAGGACCAGGGGCCATAGCGGTCCCTCGGAATGTCACCTTTCAGGGTCACAGTTCCCACACAGGTACGCGTGTTTGTTGGTGATTATAAACGTTCAACTAAAACAATCTTTTATTTTACCAGGTGAGGCACCACCGAGTTATATCGTTCTTTTTCAGAAGCGACCTGGCTACAGATGATAGCTCAACGAAGTGGCTCGTGATTTGGACATTTATAGCAGCCAAATACTCTAAGCGCATTTTCGTTCGGAATGTGGAAGATAAAAATTCACACGACCTCAGGAAGAGAGAGAGAGAGACGAAAACTCCAAGTATACAGCAGGCGTCAGGGTCAGGATCAACCCCACGACATCCTGTAGACCGGGCGAGGTAGTTAACATCCTCTCTCTCAATGCCAAAGCGGTACAGCCGTTCGTATCAACCGCGTTTCCAAGTCGCGTTACTAATTCGTCGCGTTGACCGAGTCGCCTAAGTTGCGCTTCTAAGTCGCGTTAATGAGTCGGCTTTACCAAGTCGTGTTACCACACGGCAACTGCACGTTACTCGTTACGTGACCCCCGAAACGTGACCCCCGCATACGAGGAGTCGGGGTGGGGTTTCCCTCACCTGCGATGGGAATGAGCAGCGCTGAGAGAGCGGCAAGAGAGACGAACAGCGACACACCTGCGTGGGTCATGGGAGCACGGGGTGATGGAGGCACGGGGTCAGATGAGACACGGGGTGATGGAGATACGGGGTCAGATGAGGCACGGGGTCAGATGAGACACGGGGTGATAGAGACACGGGGTCAGATGAGACACGGGGTGATGGAGACACGGGGTCAGATGAGGCACGGGGTCAAATGAGACACGGGGTGATGGAGACACGGGGTCAGATGTGACACGGGGTGATGGAGGCACGGGGTCAGATGAGACACGGGGTGATGGAGACACGGGGTCAGATGAGGCACGGGGTCAGATGAGACACGGGGTGATGGAGACACGGGGTCAGATGAGACACGGGGTGATGGAGGCACGGGGTCAGATGAGACACGGGGTGATGGAGACACGGGGTCAGATGAGGCACGGGGTCAGATGAGACACGGGGTGATGGAGACACGGGGTCAGATGAGACACGGGGTGATAGAGACACGGGGTCAGATGAGGCACGGGGTCACGGGGGACACGAGTTTCAGCAACGTGAACACGTGCGGTCAGGAACACGGGGGCCAGACACAGGTGAGTCTCGGGGCAATGTGTTTTTGTGTGTCTGTGTGTCTGTGTCTTTGAAGGTGGGAAGCGGCGGTGTGGTCGTGAGCGCGCTGCACTACGAACCCGCCCACCCGAGTTTGATTCCCCGCTCACGTGCCACCGACAGCGGTGACGATTCTCTGAAACCGATCCTGTGGCCTCCCCTTAGGTCGACTCAGCCTCAAATCAGTACCTGGTGCGGTGTGTAAACATCGCCGCTCGGGAGAAAAAGGCGGTCGGGCGTGGTGCTGACCACACAACCCCTCCGTTCCGGCCTTCATCGGTGCTGCTCGCTCACAGTTCATTCACCACAGCGATACGGAGGAATCTTGGCTGTCCTTTGTGTAAGTTAACCAAACGGCCATGGGGGCAGGACCCTCCTAAGAACGACTGCCGAGACTCCCCACCCGCCACCCTTACACAGAGACTCGGAGCCAATGCCATTGATGAATTGTAATCAAAACTTCCGTTCCAGTCTTCCCGTTTCCTCTCCCCCCACGGAGCTAGAGGGATGCAGAGGGGATAGGTTAAGAAGGGAGGGGGGGGGTATTCACCCAGGAGGACACTCACCTGTTGTCGACATGGTGCGTGAGTTGGTAGTCGCTGGAGGAGGCTCAGATGATCTGTCCTCAAACTCGGTCGGTTCGGACTTAAAAGAGCCGAGAGGATGTGTGGGTGGGGACGCAGCGGAGGTGAGGGTGGGGGCTGAGTGGCGTGGGGGGAGTCGGATGTGGGCTCGTTGCGAGTTTTGTTTTCAGTTCGGATGTGCGATTGCAGTGTGGGATGTGAATATGTAATCTACTGGGGATACAAAAGCGGCCGGGCGTGGTGCTGGTCACACAACCCCCCCCCCCCCACCCCTTCCGTGCCAGGCTTCATAAGTGCTGCTACTCGCTAACAGCACTTGCCCCAACAGTCTGTCAGAGGCTATGGGGGGGGGGGGGGAATCTCTGAGAGTGAGTGGAATGTGAGTGTGGGTGTGAGTGGTGTGGGTGTGAGTGTGAGTGGTTTGGGTGTGAGTGGTTTGGGTGTGAGTGTGAGTGTGGGTGGTTTGGAGTGTGGGTGTGAGTGTGGGTGTGAGTGGTTTTGGAGTGTGGGTGTGAGTGGTATGGAGTGTGGGTGTGAGTGATTTGGAGTGTGAGTGGTTTGGGTGTGTGAGTGGTTTTGGAGTGTGGATGTGAGTGAGTGTGGGGAGCGGTGGTGTAGCGGTTAGCGCGCTGCGCTACGAACCCTGGCCACCAGAGTTCGATTCCCGCTCATGGCCACCAACACCAGCAGTGACGATTATCTGAACCGGTCACGGGCCTCCCGGGGGTCGACTCAACCTCACATGAGTGTGGCGTGTAAACATCGCCACTGGGGGAGACAAAGGCGACCAGGCGTGATGCTGTGCGAGCCATCACAGGGGCTACTCGCTAACAGCACTTGCCCCAGCAGTCTGTTACAGGCTATACGGGGGATCTTTGTGTGTGCGTGATTGTGCGTGAGTGCGAATCTTTTAGTCAGATGTGGTCACCGATTTCCAGAAAATTTCCCCACGCCTCCCCCGCCCCCCATTCCCCCGCTTTCCCCCTCCCCCCCATTCCCCTCCCCTCCATTCCCACGCCTCCCTCTCCCCCGTTTCCCCCCGCCTCCCCCCTCCCCCCATTCCCCCGCTTTCCCCCTCCCCCCCCCATTCCCCCGCCTCCCCCTCCCATTCCCCCGCCTCCCCCTCCCTCCATTCCCCCGCCTCCCCCTCCCCCCCCATTCCCCCGCCTTCCCCTCCCCCCCCATTCCCCCGCCTCCCCCTCCTCCCATTCCCCCCCTCCCCCCATTCCCCCCCCTCCCCCCACTTTTGAGAGCCGGAAGCGACGGAGTCCCGCAGCAACTCATCCTGTTTTAAACTTTCTATTCGACACATTTATGATGACACACTTTACACATCTTTATCATGCGCTTTTATTATTACACACTTATACCACCACACTTTTATTATTACACACTTATACCACCACACTTTTATTATTACACACTTATACCACCACACTTTTATTATTACACACTTATACCACCACACTTTTTATTGAACTTGCCCCGGTATCCGTTTATATTCCTTCAAACCTTTGACGCTTAATATCTTCGGATCTACGAATCCTCACGATCTGACATTTTCTACACACAGACTCGCCGCGTCGCGCATCAATTAAAGGGTTACACTTTTTTTTTTAAACCCGGTCCAGGTCCGGCCGATCCTGCGCCTCTTCGTGATTCTTTTTTTTATTTTTCTATTATTTGTGTAATCGATAACCTGACATTCCGAACTTCCTCCCACCACCCCCCCTATTTTAAATCACGAATGGTTGCGTCCAACTGCGAGAGGAAGCGTCTGGTCCAATCACAGCGCCTGTTGCTGGGTATCCTCTGACCAATGAGAGGCGCGCTTTTTTTATCGCCGGGCGTCATGGCGCCGGAGAGGGGCGCTGCAAGAGCAACATTTACAAAGTTAATAATGACTCGTGTTGTTAAAATAATTACATAGCTATAAACGTAATGAATAGCATTATCATTTGCTTTGTGACCGCCCATTCCGACGCGCTGAGGTCGAGCGAGCAGGTAAGAGCCGTGTTCATGATTTTGAATTAAATGCCCTAATGTTTCGCTATTCTTAGTGGCAAAATGTTCCAATTATGATTGTTGATATAAATATTTAAATTAAAGCGCTAACTCTTGCGTACGTTTAATACGCTGCCGCGCGCACATGTGCACTGTTGGTTGTGCATATGCAAATACGACAATCGCGCTATGCATTTAGCCTTGTCCTCGATGTCATTTAACTCCATCGTCAAATATTGTGGGGTCATTGACGTAGACAAGCCATCAGTGGTTGTTAAAGATGGTCCGTGCCATGGGAATGTGGAATTTCCACCGGTGGAGATGAGCGCCGTACAAATGCCTCCACACGCCGCGCGGGTTGCGTAGGCCGCTTGACCATACATCACCCCCAGGCTGGTCAGTGCGAATTGCTAAAGGCGGACAGCATAGACGCACAGTACAACTGCGTATAAACACAACGTGGCCACACGCAATCCCTATGAAAACCTGCTTAAGCATGGTGGGCACCCTTCCAGCCACTGTCCAGGCTCAGAATATGCTTGGATTTCGAGGTCCAAACAGATCGGCCACATTTCAAGTCTGGGTGATGTGTTCATCGGCGTGGAAGTGTTATAATCGTGCTGTTATTAACAGTTAACATCTCGCGGTGGCGAGATGCCTGTACATCGTTTGCATGTTCTCCCCCTGCGAATCTGTTATAAAATTTGCATATTAATAAACAGAGATACTTCCATTTCTTTGCCGGACTTTAACATTGCATAAGCTTACTGTATGCAAATGACCAGGATTTACGTTAAAGTTTTCATCAAGTTAATGACAATGGAACTACAATATATAAGAGTTAATTACAATGTCTCCCCATTTATAAAACACGTATTTTAATCTTAATTCCACAACTAACTGCACTCCCCTACTAAATTGGCTATTTAAAATAATTCCAAATTATAAAGAGTTGGGCAAGGAGACAATACACCAAAACACACATAACGCAATATCGGGACTAATAAGATTACTCCAAAGTGATCTTTGTGTTTCAAAAAGGTGGTGCGTTTACTATTAGCTGATCGTGAAAAGCACTGCTGCCCATTGAGTTACGTGGATACGGTCGTTTAGAAGTATTTTAGTAATTCCTTTTGTGAATAGCCTAACTGTACCAATGAATTCATTGATGAAACTAAACATTTATAAACATCTGTGTTACGAATCTACACACTCACAGGGAGACTATGAGGTCTATTTTTGCTTTCGGGACATGTTTCTTTATTACCGTTCGAATGAATATTGTCTCATTAATTTGTAAGGACTTTTTTTTCCTATCGCCGTATATGCTCGCGTTACTCTGAGTGAGGAATGAGCCAATTGTTCTGTTACCTAGTTTAACAAACGTGATCATTGAGGGTTTAAGGTACGGATCAATGAGGAGGACATCTCCAGGAGTACTGTGACATTCCTAGCATAAGAGTTTGCATATTAGAATGTTATGTGTTTTTTTTTAAATTAAAGTTGCTTTACACTGAAGAGTCTGGAGTGGTGCCTTCCTAAGTTCATGCTTAATAATCTTAATTATAAGAACTGTTTCCTGCGGTGAGATCTGAATTTTGAGACCTGACATGAACACACTAAAACATAATTAGAAAAAGTTAAAGCGAGAATCATTGTATTATCCTGATTGATAATACAACCCTAGACAACGAAGCCGAGCCTAATTAGCACAATTACATACCCTTGCATATATTAATACAATTACACCTTCCTAATTAGCATAAATCCATAATTACCCAATTTCGGAAAATCAAGTGTTATTTATTTATTTTATTTAGAAACTCACGCCCGAATATATACAACACAAATATTCCAAACTTTTTATTGCAACTGAATTTTGGCACCAGCATTATGCTCACGTAAGCGTTTAAATAGCTGAAATAATATAGCTTAATTAATATTAAGGACAAATTTAAGCAAAATAACGTGAGAAATTCTGATGTAAAAAAGGTTTCAGTTTTGTTGCCAGAAAAAAGGGGAAAAACCCTATTATTACATTTTGGTACTGGCAAAGGAGGTCTAATGATGTAGATGCTCACCCCGAGCCCTCATTACTTTGATAGTGCATTGTCTTTGAGCTGTGTGACGCCTTTTGGCGTCATCTGGTCGAGCACCAATTGGGTCGAGGCTCAAAAGAAAGCCGTCCCTTGGTGTGGACCAATCAGTTTCAAGGACAATGCATAAATTATCATAGTATGTTTTTTGTTTGCATTTTGACTGCAGGTATTGTGGTTAATGCTGACATGAATCCTTGTAAAAAAGGTTTCAGTTTTGTTGCCAGAAAAAAGGGGAAAAACCCTATTATTACATTTTGGTACTGGCAAAGGAGGTCTAATGATACAAAAGATTGTTGAAAAATGTCTTTCCATCAACAGATCATAAGGGATTCAATTTTGTTATCAACAGAAAACTAAGTTTCAACACTGATGGTCAGAAATTTATATTAGAGTCATATGGTACTGCAAATGCTATGCGGTGATCCAGAATTTTGACAAATTTCATTTTTGCAATTCCCACTCTTGTGGCGCAAAGGAAACACCATCAGCGAATGAACCCGCTTGTGTTGTCGAGTGTGATGCCATCAATTAACTCTTAAGGAGTTGGTGGAAGCAAGAATGCAGCGTACACTTTTGATTTAATTGAGGTCTAGCCCAGAAATTACATAATTCAAGCCCTGTTGATGATCATGGACGAAATATCCATGGTGCCGTAGGAAATGCTCAGCATGATAGATCAGAGGCTGTAACAGATTAAGGATAACCCTGATCTCTTTGGAGGCCTCAATGTCCTCCTGTTTGGTGACCTCATGTAGCTTCCTGTAACTCATTTGTGGCAGGAGTTCTCATTTTGTGAGCTAATGCAGAACATGCGTCAACTAGGAAACACCACGTTTATCTAATTGCTGAATGACTTGAGAATCGGCCTCATCAAAAGTGAGAACATCAACCTTTTGGAAAAAATGGAGGACAACAGCGGCTTGGGAGAATTTACCGTTGATAAAGGCTCTGTGAATCCATCCAACGGCCAACCGAGTCGATGATTAGAACAACAAAGTCCTTCAGCATTATCGAAATATTGAAATGTCTGTGATCAAAGCCTAGGATCGTTATTGTTGACTCATCACGAAGCACTGAAAATGTTGATCTTGAGAGATTGATTCCATCGGACGCCAACGAAACTGTAGGCCTTGCAAAACAGCTGACGCTGTTTCCAGGCGCAAGAGTGATACTGCGTTACAATGCCAATGTTGGAAAAGGACGAGTCAATTGAGCAATGGGACAAATAACTGACATCATCTGGCCTATGTTCCGTCGAGCTCAGTTGTATGCAGAGGACATTCCATCGGTAACGATAGATTTCGGAGAGATTGGAGTTCACCGGATTGAGCTAGTTCCCTGCCAAATATTCATTTGGAAGTGCAGAAAGACGCATGCTGCCACTCATCCTTTGTTGGGCTTCAGCGGTGCACAACATTGAGGGATCCAGCGTGGACTATGCCATTGACAATTTAGGTTCCAAGGTGTTTGCTGCTGGTCAGGCGTATGTTGCATCGAGCCAATGGCGGAGCCAGGATTTTCAGGTAGGGGGGGGCAAACCCTCCAGCAATGAAAAATGATAGAGGAGTTGTTAGTAAGTAAGGAGTTGTTAGTAAGTAAGGAGTTGTTAGTAAGTGAGGACTTGTCCCTTGCTTGTTACTCGCCGCGTGTGCGGCGATGGCGCATCGATCGAGGGTCGAATTCGAACCGCGTAGTGTGATCGGCATCGCGCTCGCTGAAGGTGTTGATGCCTTCAAGGAAGTCGTGTACTGTATACGCAACTGCGCACAATTCTGAGTCACTTATAACCGCTTTGCCGGTACTTATTGCCAATTATGGACTCAGGCTATTGTCCTATCATCTCATAGAGTCCCTGGCACGTAACAATATGCTACAAAGTGGCAGTGGGGGTTGCAAAATGCCGATTTATTACTAATAAACCCCAATGATCCGATCGAAATTAAGGATTTCGATCGGATCATTGGGGGGGCACGTGCCACCTCCCCCACCCCCACTGGCTTTGCCACTGCATCGAGCAGAGTACGATCACTAATTGATTTGAAACCGGAATAATTGGAATGCACCAAGCTTACAGGAAGCAATTATTGCAGTAAAAAGGCACTCGATGAAATAAATCAACGAAGATAATTTTCCAACTACCATGCAGGATAGCAATCCTTTAAAAAAATATTTGAAACCGTTTTAATACTATGACTCTATCTGTATCACGAAATCTCACATTTACAGAAGTCATTAATAATATGTTTTATAACAATACATACTTATTTCATATATGTAGTTTCATAGTTAAAGCATTGAAAGCAAATATTAAAACAAAAGTATACAATAAATTAGGTTAAAAAAAGTTTTTCAATGCACACACTTTTATATGCACTCAAAAGTACATTATTTTGAACCCAAAAATAATCAAATTTGATGTGCTGAATAAAAGTGTGTGCTTTCCTTTCGACATTGAATTTGCTTTATGCAATTCACAAATACTCAGAAATAATCATGTAATTAAAAATATTCTCCATATAACCTTTAACAGACTGATGAGACAAGTGCTGTTAGCGAATAGCTCCTATGACGGCCAGTACGGCACATCAGGGGGTTGGTGACCCGCACCATGCCCGGCCGCCTTTGTCTCCCCAGTGGCGATGATTTTACACACAGCACCAGGTACTGATTTGAAGCTGAGTCGACCTAGGGGAGGCACTATCGCTCCCCACAACACCATCACCACCTTTACCATGACCACCACATCATCATAACATGAATGATTAAATACTTTATTTTTCGTACAAAGTTAAATAACAAAACACGAAGCATTCAAACATTGCACAGCAATCGGGAATGTTCATTGTTGAATAAGCACAGCCGCTGTTGAACATTCTAAATGTTGTTTAAATGCAAAACACAGAGGCAGAATTCCGAAGTTGGTATAAGTTCCGAACCGTCTTAACGCCTCGCTGATTACACTGTGTAGCAAAAAAATATTTTTGTGTTCCTGGTAGTAAGTGTTATTTTCTAATTGCTTGTGCCTCCAAAGTACAGAAAATGGCTTTTATTCCCCAGAAACTTTGCTTTTGTGACCAGGACAGTGATATTTTGAAATGTACCTATTTTCAATGAGAAAACGTGTGTAGAGGTGTTACGGGAGGGTGACACACGGTTGTATAACGGTGGCCACAAACACGTCCGCTACGGCCACCACCCTGGGGGGCTGTGGGGGATGCTGTGATCCCTCCAAGCCACACCCCTCAGTGAGACACAGTATAAAAGGTGGGACCCGGGGAGCTGAGAGTTAGTCCAACTCAGTCAAGATGAAGAGCCAGTGAAGAATGAAGATCGACTAGCCAGACCCTGGAACTCCTTTGACTCGCTGCCCTTTTGAGGGCCGGCCAAAGCAAGCCAGGATGCGACGCCAGAGCCGAGAGGGCCGATGTCCTTCTGAGGGCCGGACTCGTGTGGCTGGTGATTGGGACCTGCGCCGAGGCTGGGCCAGGTCAGATAGCCTCCTGAGAGAGGACCAGGATAGAGGGAACCAGGGAGCTAGCGTGGGCTAAAGCTCGGGGAACGTTCCCTCTGTAGAGTACAGGTGAAGAGGCCGTTAACTCTTCAAGTATCAGATTCGCCACTGTAATAGCGTCTGTAATAAATACGTGTTGCCTCAAGTGAACAGTCTCTGACGTCAATAAGGCCACTACATGTGCATTTGTCAGTTTAACCCAAAAACCTTTAATTAGTGTGCATTTGTGTCATTCCTTCACATAAAGTCCTGGTCACAAAAGCAAAGTTTGTGGGGAATAATAGCCATTTTCTATACTTTTGAGACATAAGCAATTAGAAAATAACACTTACTGCCCAGGAACAAAAATCGTGTTACATAGTGTTATCTCCCAACGCGGCAGTTAAATGAATACACCACGCTTCTAAATACCTATATATCTCTTTTTACCGTTTATTTTGTAGAGATAAACAGTCCAGTGCTCTCCACAACACGCTGGTTGTTGTGTGCACTGCAGTCGTAACATGTGCACCGTGTGTGTACCTGTTCAGTACTGATAATTGTTTTTTTTTAATGAGAGCTCGGGGTAAGCATTTACACCATTGGAACCTCTTTTGCCAGTAGCAAAATATGATAATTGTTTTTTTACCCTTTTATCTGGCAACAAACTGACACCTTTTTTACAAGGAGTCATGTTTGCATTGACCACAATACCTGCGGTCGGAATGCAAACAAAAAACATAACTCTTATATAGTGCCCTCGAGTGTCTGCAGGGGGGTGGGGGTCAGGTGACCACCCTCCACGTATTTTGACCTATTTACTAAACTAGTTGATGAACTAATCAACCAATTAACTCAACTCAATCTGGTTAATGACTTGCGCGGTTATCTTCCGAGCCAATCGATCAATTAACCAATTAACTCGTTAACCAATCAGCTCACTCGCCAATTAACCAATTTAACCAATCACAACATGAATATATAAACCAATCAACTCATAAACCGATCAACTCACGAACTAAATATCTCATGAACCAATCGCTCGATGAACTCATGAACCAAACGGCTTCCTTTAAACATAATCGCTCAATTAATTCATTCAACCAATCGGCTCTCTAGGCCAATCACGTACGTGACCACCACCCCCCCCCCCAACCCCATAGAACAGCGGCGAATCCTCACTCATTCCCAAGCCTCTCCCTCCGCTGCCTCCCCCATCCCCGCATTAATCGGGACTTCAGCAGGTGCTGTGGGGTCCCGGACCCCGGGAGGTCGCCGATCGTGGAGGTCACCCAGGAGGAGAAGGAGCAGACGCGGGTGTACACTCCGGGGTAGTTTGCGCGCCCACAATCCTTCCCCCACGAGATGACACCCTGCACGGTCCCGTCGCACACCAAGGGGCCCCCAGAGTCTTTCTGCGTGTACGGGGGTGGGGGGGAGAGGGATGGGCGGTGAAGGAGGAGATGGAACGGAGATGAAAACGACTGAGATCGAGACGCACGCACAGTGACCTCCACCATCGGCCCTGGCATGAACATTCCTAGAATTCTTAGCATCATCGTCGTCATCACCATAATAATCCTGTGGACATCTGTCCCAAGGCAGAATCATAATATTGTTTTACTGGAGGAATTCGATGCGCTATCAAACTCTTTTTCACAGATGTCCAAGTAAGCCACCCGTACTCAAATGCCAACAACGCAACCACCACCACCACCACCACCACCTCCTTCATCCCCCCGTTGTTGTCATCGCTGATTTTGTTGGAGGGGCGATTGCCTCCAACTTGTCCTTCACGAGCTCCCTCCGTAGAGGTCCGGTGGACTGAATTCTGGCTCCAAAGGCATGGGGTTTGTTCTCTGCTGGGGGAAGGATGCCACCGGACAATAGCGAGTAGTTGTGGCTTTCCTCGAAATTGGAGAATAAGCTAATTAATGGGGAGCATGGGAGGGTGGAGGCTAGATTTGGGGAGCCGTAAGTTGCATTCTCATTATGGAAGGTGGGCGGTGGTGGTGGTGGTGACTAACGTCCCCACCGCAGATGAACGTCGGCAGAGGGATGCAAGGCACCGGGGCTGCTTAGTTAGATGCATTCGGTGACCTGTTGCAGGTGCTGGCCAAAGCAGCCCCTTGGGATAGAGTTGTCTAATTGGGCGAATTTAATGCCGCTCCACACTCATACATACACACTCTCATACACACCCTCACCACAACATTTACCCTCATCACCCACCCCTCACCCCCCTCACACCCCACACACCCCTCACCTTGCACGCATCTCTCCCGCCTTCCATGAACCCGGCACAGAACATGGAGTTGGTGAGCGCGGGGCCATAACTCTTGCGGCAGTGGCGTTGATTGATGACGGTCACGTTGAGGCACTCCGAGGACTTGGGGAAGACACCAGCTGGAGAGGGGGGGCAGGGGGGGCAGGGGGGCGCACGGGGGGGGGGAGGAGAGAGCGGGGGGGGTTAGTCACGGCGTCTCTTCCATGGGCGTTCCTGTGCGTATCTACGTGTGTGTGTCTATATCCACGTGTGTGTGTCTATATCCACGTGTGTGTGTGTGTCTATATCCACGTGTGTGTCTATATCCACGTGTGTGTCTATATCCACGTGTGTGTGTCTATCTACGTGTGTGTGTCTATCTACGTGTGTGTGTCTATATCTACGTGTGTGTGTCTATATCTACGTGTGTGTCTATATCCACGTGTGTGTCTATATCCACGTGTGTGTGTGTCTATATCCACGTGTGTGTGTCTATATCCACGTGTGTGTGTGTCTATATCCACGTGTGTGTGTCTATATCTACGTGTGTGTGTCTATATCCGTGTGTGTGTCTATATCCACGTGTGTCTATATCCACGTGTGTGTCTATATCCACGTGTGTGTGTCTATATCCACGTGTGTCTATATCCACGTGTGTGTGTCTATATCCACGTGTGTGTGTCTATATCCACGTGTGTGTGTGTCTATATCCACGTGTGTGTGTGTGTCTATATCCACGTGTGTGTGTGTCTATATCCACTTGTGTGTGTGTCTATATCCACGTGTGTGTGTGTCTATATCCACGTGTGTGTGTGTCTATATCCACGTGTGTGTCTATATCCACGTGTGTGTCTATATCCACGTGTGTGTGTCTATATCTACGTGTGTGTCTATATCTACGTGTGTGTCTATATCCACGTGTGTGTGTCTATATCCACGTGTGTGTGTGTCTATATCCACGTGTGTGTGTCTATATCCACGTGTGTGTGTGTGTCTATATCCACGTGTGTGTCTATATCCACGTGTGTGTGTCTATATCCACGTGTGTGTCTATATCCACATGTGTGTGTCTATATCTACGTGTGTGTGTCTATATCTACGTGTGTCTATATCCACGTGTGTGTGTCTTTATCCACATGTGTGTGTCTATTTCCACGTGTGTGTGTGTCTATATCCACGTGTGTGTGTCTATATCCACGTGTGTGTCTATATCCACATGTGTGTGTCTGTATCTACGTGTGTGTCTATATCTATATCTACGTGTGTGTCTATATCCACATGTGTGTCTATATCTACGTGTGTGTCTATATCTACGTGTGTGTCTATATCCACGTGTGTGTGTGTCTATATCCACGTGTGTGTCTATATCCACATGTGTGTGTGTCTATATCTACGTGTGTGTGTCTATATCTACGTGTGTGTCTATATCCACGTGTGTGTGTGTCTTTATCCACGTGTGTGTGTCTATATCAACCAAACCATGTCCTTCGGATTGCACCACTTTTCGTTCTTACATTAACACGCTAATCTCTTACATTAACATAGCCCACTTCCGTGCCCTCGTCGTTCTTACAGTTACATGCTAATTTCTTACATTAACATAACTAGCCCCGCCCACTTCTTTATGACCCTTGGGCTACACCCATTTCAAACCTTTTAAAACAGTCTGCCTCAGCAGCAGGCCATCGCTTTCCCACCTGATGACGGACGCTTGTGTTGCGCACGAAACGTCGTGATTTATTTTATTTTATACCTACGTGACTTTACCGAAAGAACCAAAGAGCATAGTCTGTTACACCCTATGCTTTACGCCTGACTGCTGACGAGACACTGAGCGGCGAAACCGGTCCCAGAGTAGTTGCTCGTGGTCGGACCAACGCCGCTCAAATGATGCGCTCCCAGAACGCCGTTGGGGCTGATGGGATGTGTGGACAAAAACTAAATCTTACGTGAAAGAGGAGGTGGAGGCCTTTAATCTGCTTCATTTCTGTTCCTGTTAAAGAAGGTCCACGGCCCGAAACGTCGCCCATTATTTATTGAAGGCGGGATGGAAATCGGCCGAACTTACTCTCAGTCTGCCCCCACCCGGCCATGAAGCAGCGGTCCCCGGGAAGGGGGCACGAGGTCGCCAGGGGGATGATGGAGATGGCGGGACCCAGGCGGGGTGCGGGGGACACCTGCAGCAGGGCCAGGTCCCCCTCGAACGACTCGGAGCGGGGGTCGTAGGAGGGGTGCACCACGTGGCGAGTCACCCGCGGGTCCCTGGAGCACACGGGACGCAGGGTCCGCTCGCCCAGCAGCACGCGGGCCCTGCGGCGAGCGAGGTTCAGGCTGCGGCGGGGGAGAGGGGGGGGGGCGAAAGGAGAACGGGGGGGGGGGTGAGATTTGGGGGTAGGGGGGGACAGGGGACGACAGTGTATAATAATAGTGGTGGTGATTGGGGTGCTGGTGATTACCATGACCCCAGGCGATTTCACAGGACCTCCACGTCCCCCACTCCCTCCCGTGCTTCCCCCCGGGTGAGCTCACCTGGAGAGGCAGTGCGCCGCGGTGAGGATCCAGTCCGGAGCGACGAGAGCTCCGCCACACACGTGCTCCCCGCGGTGGTTCACGATCGAGGCGAGCCACGGGTGAGCCAGCGGGGGGCAGCGCTCACCGCCGTACATCTGCAGCGGCACCTTCGGCTCGCCACCTGCGTCTCAACGCGACAACCCCAGGCACCGGCGATTAGCGCCGGTTCGCTACGTACGGTGGGAAAGAAGTTCAACGTGCGTCTGTACGTACATACAAGACACCGGCGTTGCAACACAGCAACAGCAGCAATAGCAACGTCGCCGCGGCGCTTGCGCCAGGCTAGGTGCGCTTCTTTGAGGCCGTCACTTGAAGTTTCGAAGGCTCGCTGCTTGCAGGAGGTGGTCACGGGACAGACCCAGGTGCCAGGGGTTAATTGGCAGATGCACCAGCTGTATCCCCTACTGTGCTAACTTGCTGTGTTTTAGCCGCCCTGGAGGGCGACTGCCTCCAACTGCCCAGCAGCGTCCTTCACGAGCCTCCTCCATCGAGGCTGCCCTTAACACTGCTGGTACCATTCATTCATTGGCAAGTTCACTCAGCACCACATCTTCCTGTAAGCACATCGGTCAATCTCTTCTCTAGCCTGGGCTGTGCCCGTTTAGCCCCATCTATCCGACATTTAGATTATTTAGATGATGTATCTGCTTTCATTTGTTGAGCTATCATATTTGGCCAGGTCATGTCTGAAAAAGACGCTAATAGCTCAGTTGACTTTACCTGATCAAATAAAAACGTAGAGTTTGGTTTTATTTGTATATTTATTTGTCTACTTTTCCTATACTTTGCACTCCTATCGTGTTTTGGTATTGTTTGTTGTAACATTCTGACTGACCCCTCCTGGACATCTGTGAAAAACTGTTTTATAGCTCATCGGATTCCTCCAGTGTAAATAAAGATTCAAATTACGAACCAGAAGTTCATCGGGCATGCGGTGGCTGGGGCATGCGGTGGCTGGGGCGTGCGGTGGCTGGGGCGTGCGGTGGCTGGGGCATGCGGGCGACATGCCCTAGCCACACACAAATACAAAGATCCTCTGTATAGCCTTAACAGACTGTTGGGGCTAGTGCCGTTAGCGAGTAGCACCTATTAAGGCTGGCTCGGCACACCAGGGGGTGAATGGCGAGCACCATGCACGGCCGTCTTTGTCTTCCCCAGTTGGCGCTGTTTACATACCGCACCAGGTACTCATTTGAGGCCGAGTCGACCTAGAGAAGGCCGATGACCGGTACAAATAATCGTCACTGATGTTTGTGGTCGTGAGTGGGAATCGAACTCGGGATGCCGGGTTTATCATGCAGCATGCTAACCACTACGCCACCACTCCGCCCAGCCACACACAAAACAAAGACAAAGATCCCCCATATAGCCTTAACAGACACCACACGTACAAAGATAAAGATCCCCCGTATAGCCTTAACAGACTGTAGGGGCAAGTGCTGTTAGCGAGCACCTTACGTACACACACATGTACACACACATCCACACAATAGCGTACACGCGCTGCCGTCCATGGCACGCGTGCCGTGTCCTGTCTCTCGTGTCCCGTGTCCCATGCCCTGTGTCTCGTGAGCCGTGTCCCTCATGTGAATTAATTTGGAGCCAGGGGTCATAGGTTTCCCCTGGAATGTCACCTGTCATGTGCACAGTTCGCACACGAATACGCATGTTTCTTTATGATTAGAAACTTTTTTTTATTTTACCAGGTAAGGCCCACTGAGCTATATAGCTCTTTTTCAGAAGCGAACTGGCCATAGATGACAGCTCAACGAAGTGGCTTATCATTTAGACATTTATAGCAGTCAAATACCCTGAAAGCATCCTGATTGTAAATGTGGAGGGGAAAATCAGTTGACCCAGAGAAAAATCCGCGCGACCTCTGGGAGAGAAAGACGCGCAAACTCCAAATATACAGCAGACATCAACGTCAGGATCAAACCCACGACCTCCTGTATACCTGGCAAGATAGTTAACATCTCTTAGCCACCTCGACACCGCCGACCTCTCAGTGCCACCCGCGCTCACGCACTGTCCGTTTGTTGTTGATAAGCGTTGGGTAACTCAGTGCAGCGGTTGGCACCAGCCGCGTTTACCATGTCGCATTACTAAATCCTCACGTTACTAAATCGTCGCATTACTAAATCGTCACGTTACTAAATCGTCGCGTTACTAAATCGTCACGTTACTAAATCGTCGCGTTACTAATTCGTCGCATTACTAAATCGTCACGTTACTAAATCGTCGCGTTACTAAATCGTCGCGTTACTAAATCGTCACGTTACTAAATCATCGCGTTACTAAATCGTCACGTTACTAAATCGTCGCGTTACTAATTCGTCGCATTACTAAATCGTCATGTTACTAATTCGTCGCGTTACTAAATCGTCGCGTTACTAAATCGTCGCGTTACTAAATCGTCGCGTTACTAAATCGTCACGTTACTAATTCGTCACGTTACTAAATCGTCGCGTTACTAAATCGTCGCGTTACTAATTCGTCGCGTTACTAAATCGTCACGTTACTAAATCGTCGCGTTACTAAATCGTCGCGTTACTAAATCGTCGCGTTACTAAATCGTCGCGATACTAAATCGTCGCGTTACTAAATCGTCGCGTTACTAAATCGTCGCGTTACTAATTCGTCGCGTTACTAAATCGTCACGTTACTAAATCGTCGCATTACTAAATCGTCACGTTACTAAATCGTCGCGTTACTAAATCATCGCGTTACTAAATCGTCACGTTACTAAATCGTCACATTACTAAATCATCGCGTTACTAAATCGTCACGTTACTAAATCGTCGCGTTACTAATTCGTCGCATTACTAAATCGTTATGTTACTAAATCGCCGCGTTACTAAATCGTCGCGTTACTAAATCGTCGCGTTACTAAATCGTCACGTTACTAAATCGTCGCGTTACTAAATCGTCGCGTTACTAAATCGTCACGTTACTAATTCGTCGCGTTACTAAATCGTCGCGTTACTAAATCGTCGCGTTACTAAATCGTCACGTTACTAAATCGTCGCGTTACTAAATCGTCGCGTTACTAAATCGTCGCCTTACTAAATCGTCGCATTACTAAATCGTCGCATTACTAAATCGCCGCGTTACTAAATCGTCACGTTACTAATTCGTCGCGTTACTAATTCGTCGCGTTACTAAATCGTCGCGTTACTAATTAGTCTCGTTACTAAATCGTCGCGTTACTAAATCGTCTCGTTACTAAATCGTCGCGTTACTAAATCGTCACGTTACTAAATCGTCACGTTACTAAATCGTCACGTTACTAATTCGTCTCGTTACTAAATCGTCGCGTTACTAAATCGTCGCGTTACTAAATCGTCACCTTACTAAATCGTCGCGTTACTAAATCGTCGCGTTACTAAATCGTCACGTTACTAAATCGTCACGTTACTAAATCGTCACGTTACTAATTCGTCTCGTTACTAAATCGTCGCGTTACTAAATCGTCGCGTTACTAAATCGTCGCGTTACTA